AACTCAATGTGCTTTATGAGATTACATGAGCAGTAATCATAAACTGGACGAGAAACTAGAGACGAGCTGGCTCTACTCGAGTTGAAGTTGGACGATTCTCGTTATGTGCTTGGAATGAAGTCAGGCATCAAGGCCAAGTTGAAATTGTAAATGAGTATTTCTAATGGACAAAGGGTATGAGGGGGGATGAAGATTCTGCAGCAGCGAATGCCCAATCAGAGAAATGCATTTTCGATATATCAACAATGTATGACCTAAATTTAAGACTTGCTCGCTCCTCAGTGATCACCAAGATCGTAGTCAGAGACAAAAATCACAACGAGCAAGTGTATGCAACAAAATCCGCGCTACTGCAGGGTATTGCATCGGACCCTCGGAAGGATACGTGGAGTAACTGCTAAGGCACAATGACCACACCTCAATTTGTTCAGCTGAAAAACTCTCATCCCGGAGCAAAGGGTTTCTTTTCCGCGAGCCACACAGGAAGATTAAGCTTTATTTGAGCGGGACAGTGTTGGTCCTCACCTCCTGCCTGGTTGGAAGAATGTCACATGGGATAGGAAGATTCAATCGATTCGGAGCCAGAGAGCTCATTGGACAATTGGCATTTTCTAAAAAAAAATGTAGATAATGATACTGGTACTGGTACTCAAGTTCACCGTTGAACTTGAACAATTGGTTATTTAATTGGTTGAGACTCCAGAGTCAGCATTTTTGAAGCTGCACGACGATAATATTTCCTCTCTTTCGTCCGTATGCATCTCATCCATGCCCAGAGCTCCGCCTATCTCTACATCTTGATAATTAGACCTTGGAGACAAATGCTCATGAGGTCAACGGACATCGAATAGCTTTTTGATTGACGCGTTGACGTCCTCGCAAAAATAGTCCCCTACATGCCCGAATAGATGAAACTGGCAGGTCAATCCTGTAGTATTCAAAGCCACCAACGCAGGTTGTACCTTATTCCCCCCTCATTCTTTCCGATCCAGTGCTATAGTTAACCCGTACCCGAGGTCCGGGTTATGGTAGTGGTGGAAAAAGTTTATTATTAAAAGCGGCATTGACCCCGCAATACACTAGAGCTATGATGATTTGGTCTGTTTCTTTTCGACGACAACGTTTTTCTTAATCCTTGACTACATCCCGTCCAACAGATACTTTACACACATTATTGTCCTCGTGGATAGTGTCATGCAACTTGCTAAAAACAGCTCTATAGTTAGAACTCGACGATCAACGTTACGAGGGACCAAGGTTGTTGAGGATGGGAGCTCGAGAGGGGGCGGAATAGCTGGGGAGGGAATGTCGGTCTTTCATTTCTCAATAACTTTTTCATCAATTTGAATTTGATAGAAGTCTGTCATGTATTGGAGACCAAGAGTATTATCCGTGTCATACTCACAAATTAGTAACTCAATTAGATTTTCTTTTGACCCCAAGTGCTTGATTGGGACATTGAGAAATGGGCATTGGCTGCATCGTCTGCGGGGTAAACTGAAAGTATTCACGGCAGTTCGAGTTTCCCCACACCTACTACATTACATCTCCTCCTTTCCTGCCGTTCTGCTCGGAATACTCGATGGAGAGCGCTTCCCTTCTCCTCCTTATCTTTCTTGTATGTACGTATGGAGCAGTCAGCCTGCACCCTGAAATTTGCGCATCAATAAAAATTGGCATCCATCCAGTGGGGATGTCCTGGTGAGACAAGATGAGGGGTAGCAACGCTATCTATGGTTTGGTTGCTCTTGGTTCCTTGTTCCTCATGCTTATTGCGGTCTAGCTGACCAATGGCCTTTCAACGAGAATGCAATGTTACCATATACAGGGCGGAAATATAGCTAATGCCACAGCAATCCTCTGGAGAGGTTACTCCGATACATCCGGAATCGTAGAATATAAGATAACGAGAGTAGACAAAAAGCTTCGTTTTTTTCATCTTTAGTATAGCTTTGAACAGCTTTGGAAGTTCGAGTGATATCTAATATCAATAAATTTAAGTAAAACAGCCACGATGACGATCCCAGACGAGTTCGACATCATTGTTTGTGGTGGTGGAAGTACTGGTTGTGTAATTGCTGGCAGGTGTGTTCGAATCTTTTCAGATGTGGACTCTCATTGTTGAAGACTAACCGGCTTGCAGACTTGCTAACCTCGATCATAACCTTCAAGTTCTGCTCATTGAAGCTGGAGAGAGTAATCTCAACAACCCATGGGTGTTCCGTCCAGGAATCTGTAAGATAAGCGCCATGTCACTTCTGCTTTATCCCACTAACAATTTTTAGATCCTAGGAACATGAAATTGGACAGCAAAACAGCCTCATTTTACTATTCCCGACCATCAGAATGGCTAGCCGGTCGCAAAGCTGTCGTTCCATGCGCACATATCCTGGGTGGAGGTTCTTCTATAAACTTCATGATGTACACACGAGCGTCTGCTTCCGATTACGATGACTTCCAAGCCAAGGGATGGTCAACAAAGGAGCTTATTCCATTGATGAGAAAACACGAAACATATCAGCGGGCATGTAATAACAGGTTGGTGGATATATTCTCGAAGAAACCAGTTTTCTGACCTGTTCAGGGAACTTCATGGCTTTGATGGCCCGATTAAAGTCTCATTTGGAAATTACACTTACCCAATTACCCATGACTTCTTGCGTGCTGCGGAATCTCAGGGAATACCAACAACTGATGATTTGCAAGACCTTGTCACTGCACAGTAAGTTATATCCTTCATCAAGACGACAATATGCTTACAATGATACTACTAGTGGTGCCGAACATTGGCTCAAGTGGATCAATCGAGATGTAAGCAAATCTTGCTTCCCAGTTGAATAATTAACCTTACAGTTATCTCAGACCGGTCGTCGCAGTGACGCTGCCCATGCCTACGTTCACTCTACCAGGGCTGTACACTCGAACCTTCACCTCATGTGCAACACTAAGGTAGATAAAGTAATTATCGAGAACGGTCGAGCTGTTGGTGTACAAACTGTTCCAACGAAGCCGCTTCATCCAAATGTAAGTTATCTCCCAGAATAACCCAATTCATGCTGACTCGAATACTCCGATAGCAACGCCCACGAATTTTCCGTGCACGAAAACAAGTAGTTGTTTCAGGTGGGACACTCTCATCGCCGTTGATCTTGCAAAGAAGTGGTGTCGGTGACCCAAAGAAATTACATAAGGCTGGTGTCAAACCTATTGTTGACTTACCCGGTGTTGGTTTGAACTTTCAGGATCATTATCTGACATTCTCTGGTATGCATTCTTTATAGTTTTCAATCCTGTCATCTATGCTAATACTCTCAAGTCTACCGTGCTAAACCCGGAACTGAGAGTTTTGATGACTTTGCCAGAGGTGTTCCTGAGGTTCAAAAGGCTGTTTTCGACGAATGGAATCTCAAAGGGACCGGACCACTTGCCACAAATGGTATTGATGCCGGTGTGAAGATTCGCCCAACCGAGGAGGAGTTGAAAGAAATGGAGAGTTGGCCAACACCACATTTCAAATCAGGCTGGGATAGCTACTTCAAGAACAAGCCCGACAAGCCAGTGATGCACTACTCAGTTATTGCTGGTTGGTTTGGTGACCACATGTTGATGTAAGTTACCAATTCGACGACTTAGGAGATCAATCTGATTAATTATTAGGCCACCTGGAAACTTCTTTACCATGTTCCACTTCCTGGAATATCCATTCTCCCGTGGTCAAACTCATATCGTTTCTCCAGATCCTTATGAGGCACCAGACTTTGATGCTGGTTTCATGAATGATGAGAGAGACATGGCACCAATGGTTTGGGGATACATCAAATCTCGTAATACTCTCTCACAACCAGTGTACAAGATATCAAAGTTGAATGCTAACTCCCATAAACAGGTGAAACTGCCCGTCGTATGGATGCATATGCAGGAGAGGTACAGAACATGCATCCATTCTACGCATATGATTCGCCGGCTCGAGCCAAAGATATGGATTTGTTGACCACAAAGTCATACGCTCTTCCAGGCAATGTTACTGCAGGTATTCAACATGGTTCTGTAAGTTCTGTGTTCGATATTTTATACCTTCGTCCAAAGTACCATGCAGTACTAACAAGAACCAGTGGTCAGTGCCAGTTGAGCCAGGAAAGCCACCACAAATCTCCTACCTCAACAGTAACCAAAGAGACCTGCAACAAGACCTCAAGTATAGCAAAGAAGATATCAAGCATATCGAAGAATGGGTAAAGAGACATGTGGAGACAACATGGCATTCTCTTGGCGTAAGTAATTCCTCTCAAAACCCCACAAGAACTATAATCTAATTCAAATTAGACATGCTCTATGGCACCTCGTGAAGGAAACTCCATCGTCAAGCACGGTGTTCTTGACGAACGTCTCAATGTCCACGGTGTAAAAGGTCTCAAAGTCGCAGATCTTTCAATATGTCCTGATAATGTTGGATGCAACACCTGTATGTCATTCCATTAAGCTTTCTAAGATCATATCGACTAACAGCTATAGTCTCAACTGCTCTTCTCATCGGAGAGAAATGCTCCATGCTCGTTGCTGAAGATCTAGGTTATAGTGGTAAAGCGCTCGATATGAAGGTACCTAATTATCATGCTCCTGGTGAAATTAGCGCTATTGCTACTTCTCGCCTTTAACTTTATCTTAGATAGACTACGGAGGGCTACAGAGGTTATGAATGATATGACTAGGAGTTTAACGGGTTATTTTGCAGTTGACATTCTTTTGTTTGTATTTTTGTATGTATATTGGTAGTGGCGTACTGGTTATTTAAAGCATATTTTGACATTTGGTTCGAATGTTGAAGGAGTTTCTGATGTTGTTTCCTGCTATCATGATTTCGGTGTTGAAAAATGACATTTTGCTGTACAAATATAACGTGAATGTCGCAAGTGTATGACTTCTCTCCAAATGTAAATCAACGAATGAATTACCTTGCCGGTAAAGATGAGTTGATGAGTCGAGAAGTTTTGTGCAGTGTCTTGTAAGGTAGCTCCGAACGGTTTCTTGCTACGGTTTCTCTCTACAATATCTCCCTATGGTTTTTACGGTCCAAATTTGAATACCCACCTCTTCTTCTCCTTCTTCATCTACAATAGTATTTTGCTGGTTCAGCGATAATACGGCATGGCGATCACAATCATAATGTCTACTATTTAGTACTGCAGAGGAATAATCACGTACTAATAGAAGAATCTTCTACATATAACTTAATCTTACATTCGCATCTAAGAAACCACATATAATTAAACAAAAAGATTCCTCCTCCATTGTAATACTCGAATAAGTCGTCACATTATAGGAATAAAGTACAAAAATCTAAAATCTAAAAATCATCATAACGAATTTAATCTTACACCAATCTCCACACCCCCTCCCCCCCCCCCCCCCCCCCCCCCCCCTCAAAACAAAGAAGAAAAAGGAAAATGTGCAATCCAGCATCATACCTCTGTCACCACCGTCCTCCTCCTTCATCCCCAACCCTTTGGATCGGATGTCCTACGTACCCTACGCTTTCGTGTCGTTATGTTTTGATTCCTAGGAGTAGGACTTGTGAATTTGTATCTACGTCTAAGATTACATCCACAGCTGGAATTGCGGGTAATTTTACCACAGCTTTAATTTTAACTAGAACTAAACACCAACCCCAAAAAACATTCTGTCAACGCTGTCGCGAAAAATAGGGTATAGAAAATCTCTATGAAAGAGAAGTTACACGGAGAGTGGGGATGGTAGAAGGGATTTTGGGGTCGTTGAATGGTGGGGAGGGGAGTTTGAGGGAGATGGGGTTTAGATGTAGGTTGAGTGGGAGGGAGATTCAGGTGGGGATGGAGAGGGCGGAGGAGATGTTTGGGGGTGGGATTGTGACTCCTGAGGCTTGAAGGGGTGGGGAGGGGATGGAGATGGGAATGAGGAAATGGATATGCTGGTGGAGAGTTGGGGGGAATGGGGTGGGACGGGGGGAAAAGAGAATGGGGGAGGAAGGGATGAAGGATGATGAACGAGGTCGCTATCGAGATGGTCATGGGAATAACGTATAAATTTACAATAATTAATTACTAGGCAAGGTCTTGCTGTGATTGAGCTTAACTCCAGCAGATATTTTCGATATCCACTTATCCATCTATCCATTCATCGTTAGACCGAGCTCCAAACTCCAAACTCCATCTCTTCATTCTAATCACACCATTCGATACCCCAGAATTCAAGCTTCACTCAACCTAAATCTCCATACTACCCATCTACTTCCTTGTAGGTATTTAATAAGTGGTTAATAACTCACTTGATTTACTAATTGTAATTTTAATTTATTCAATTAATCACGTCACATCACGTCCCATTTTCCATATACCAAATATAAAACCCGAAAACATGACCGGAAGATCTGTATTTCTTGACGGCCACCGAATAGAAGATATTTATTCATTAAAAAGTATTATTAGTATGAACAAAATCTTTAATTAAAGTAAGTAGGTAATGCCCTAGTAAATTCTGTCCTATCCAATATCCCATCCCTAGGTATTCAACTATAATTTTCCCTCCTGAAAACCTCAGAAAGCCTCACAATATACACACAGATTCAGATATATTCTTTGCCACAATAGTCAACTCCTCAAACAGGACCAAAATATGTAAATAATTACAAATAGTAATATTCCCGCCCCCCGCCCACTCAATAACTTCGCCGAGTACGTCTCTCAAACTCCGCTAGGTTGTCTAAGGTAGCCCATTAATCGTAAAACTAGTCCGGGTGAAAGTCACTTGTTGCTCTAACTTGCGGTGAGAGTGTGTGCCACTATGGAAGAGGCGAGGACAGCAATGTTGAAGATTGAGGAGACGAGAAAGAGCAATATGGGTTCAGGCTGTGTAAGAGGTGAACGAGTGATTGACTACGGCAGGGAATGCTGAAGACGCATTTCTCTTTCTTTTGGGCCTGGAGTTGATATGCGAGATACTTTTCTGCTTTCTCATTGCCTTGAGATACATTGGTAAAAAATTGATTGAATCTTTGGTCTTGGTCAGCGATAAAGAAGGGAGTTGTTTTGGAGTCATAAGCGTGTATTCTTGTGGGTCCTCGGCAGTGCTTGCTTGGCAAGTGGAATTTTATTTCCACGTTATCATTACCCCTGAATACAATAATTGCATTTCCGAGCTTTCTCAGAATGGTTGATCGGAAAATTTGTCAATTATCAGCTAAGTTTCCTCCTCAGCTGTCTCGCTGATCAACTGCCGATGAGCCAAAACGTGTTTGATCTGCTTCTTTTCAAAGTATGAAATCGCCTATCGTATTGCTGTGGCGAACAGACAATTTCATTCTCTCAAACCTGCGACAAATGACACAAATTGAGCCTCAGCGCCTGAATCTCTCGCCAATCTATTCCGGAACCACATCCCCAAGGTGTTGAATGTACAGTGGCACTCGTAAATACCTTCTGTGCCCCAGATAGACATGCCAATTCCTTGCTCTCTCCATGCTTTTAAATTACTATCTCATTACGCGCAGCGAACAAATCAATTAGATCCCCAGAAATACCAGTACAGCTAGAATATGCGTAATATGGTACGCATAAGAGCAAACAGCAATTGCCCTCTTCAAGATTCCCGGTATTGCGAGAGGGTTAAGCAAAGGATTGGTATTAGAAGAATGATTAGAAAAGCTATCTTCTGCTAAGCGACATATCTGAGCAGCATTCCAAATTGCGGTACGAGGGTGCGGTGAAGAAATCCAACTACTTAGACGTGCTTTTGTCCTTTGCGTCGTTGAGCCGGCACCAGGTCGACATTTGAAGCAACATCCTTGTCGCTGTAAAAGCTTTAGGGGTGCGTGAACTGTGAGGACAGATATATGCCATAATAGTAGGTTCAATTGTGTAAATACGCAATCTTCGGTAATTTCAGTAGGGCTGACGTTTGGCTGCGATTGAGTATACCCTTAAATATTTGTGCGCCAGCGATCGAGATGAGCACTCTATCGACGAACCGGATCACTTCGCCTTGAGTCTGTTATTAATTCATCTGAATCACAACAGCAAAAGGCTTCACGAGCAGTTTCTCACGTTCCAACCTGTAGAGAACACAGCCCCAAATGGTAGTCGTTATTGGTCTGATGACACGAAGATGAGTCTATGTCACCAGCATCAATGATATCACACATGAGAAAACAGAATAGTGCTTTCTCGCGACCTGCAGGCTCATTCTATTGAAGTCTTCGTCTCTCTTCATCAGTTGCAGCTGTTCAAAGCTTTGTGGGTTTTGGAAGGGGAATGCTAATCTCCTGATAGCGAACAGATGGCGGGTAATCCATAAGAACGCTCAAGTGGGCATCTACCCTTAGACTAGAGAATGCAAGCCTGGCTTGTATCAGTATATGGTCTAGGATTATTAAATTTTTAATACATATGAAGCTGTTCTTGCAACAACCAGAGGTCAAATGGACAGTCTCCGAGTTCATAATATGTGTTTTGACCGTTGAAGATACCGGCATGGCGACAAGTTGACATTAAAGTACTGTTAAGATGAACAGCTCTTGAAGACACTTCTTTCGTATTCCTATCATGGTATTAGCATTGATTGATGAGTGCAAGATTTGTATTCCATTTTCGGCGGTTCAACTTACCAAAGGAGAAATACTGTATACAACACACAAAAGAAGGCCTTGAAGATTTTGAAGCGTCGACTGGTCAATCTCTTTGTCGAATGGGAGACTAGATTCCTGTGCAGTCAGATTAGTATCATGCACAATACTTCAAAAGAGCAATAATTACCAGTCGAGCTGCTAGTATCGCTTCGAACACAAGGAATGCAAGTTTTTCATGGTTGGTATTCCTAGCCCAGCCAATCCGCGAGCATGAGCATAGAACCTAATAAGATGGGCGAAGCATTTTGGGGACTGAACGTTGGAGCATGCAATATTGGCCAAGATGAATGAATTTCGATAAAATACATGTCCAACTTGTTAAAACAAGTTTCGAAGTCGCAGTCCTCACTCGACAATCGAGTACTCACAAGTTCCACTCATCTGTTACAGTCAAACCTGTTGATTACGAATATCTTGAATCACTCACTAGCGCTCTTACAGGACAGAATGCTGTGATATCCACTCTCAGCTCTAATGTCCTTGATAAACAACTTCTCCTCGTTAAAGCAGCAGCCAAAGCTCATGTAAAGCGCTTCATCCCTTCCGAGTTTGGTTCCAATACACAGAGAGAAAACACCGGAGCTTTGCCAGTTTTCTAGTCTAAAGTCGCTGCTCAAAATGTTCTCATGAAACATGTTTTAGATGGAATGTCATACACCATTGTGGTTAATGGCCCATTTTTTGACTGGGGTATCATGGTTGGGTTCATCATGAACGCAAAAGGAAAAAGAATCACCCTTTACGATGGTGGTGATCGGACTTCTAGCACTACCACCCTTCCCGACATTGGACGAGCCGTAGTCGGTGTACTAAAGCATCCAGAAGAGACGAAGAACCGTGCCGTCTATGTACAAAGTTACGCAACTACACTCAAAAACCTCGCTGCAGTCGGGAAGAAGGTTTTAGGATCGGATGGTTGGACTGAGAACGTTGCGTCCGTTGATGATATTGTGGCTGGTGCATGGGAAGAGTTGAATAAACCACAGCCAAACCCGGACAAATTCGCTATTCAATTCATCATAGAGAACCACCGGCAGCGCCGACTGGTGCCATTGCGCCAAACAGACCGAAGCTCAAATTTCGTTTCTTCCCGGGTGGAAAAGTGATGCCTAGCAAAACCACAATGTTCGGTATCATGAGACCACCACAAATTCCACAGAAGCCTCTCACAATGCACATAGATATCAAATTGTCGGAGAATCCACCACATAAAGCCCAAAGAGTCCACCAAACGCAACCAGCGGTAAAGACGTTTTTGTGACGATAGACCGCACCTAAACGACAGCCTGTAGTAATAATAGCATGTCAGTTACATCCATACGACCAAAATATAATACAGTCAGATGCATCTTACCACTCAGAACGAAAGTTCCTTGAGTTAAGGGGTATGAGGCAACAATCCAAACCGACTGAGCCTCTGTAGCACCCAAAGCTGCCTCGATAGCGAAACTAGAATTAATAGCAGCACCTAAAGGAATCATCTGAACCAGTTGGGTCAAGGTAATGAAAATCATGAAGATATTCTGTCTCAATGCACTGGGCACCCCACTTTTCGGTGGTGTATTGCTGCCATTTTCGAGAAAGTTATTGGCACTCGGAGGAGAGACAGCATAGGACTCCTTGTTGCTGCTATCTTCTGGCGCAGATGGTGTATGAGAAGACATTGGTAAAATACCCTGGCCACTGTCGTGCTCAGTCACTGATGAAGTGCTGTGCTTCATTGAGAACGAAGAATTGAAGAGATTTTTCCACCGGAAGTATGCAATTTAGATCAGACTTTCACTTCGAAGGGGAGACAGTTTGTTCGTAGATGATGGACTGGAGATTCTCAAATGCAGACATATCTACATGTTTCACTTACCTTTGGTGGAGGTTGAATGCAGCTCCAGCAACACTTGCTTACCTCACACGATTGAGACTTTCTTATATCAAGCCGAGGGGTTGTGTAGCCATGATTTCAGATATTCTCATCACTGACAACTTTAATAAATTGAAATTCTTTGATGTTGTTTTGGGATTCTAGATTTTCTGATGATATGTGGGATATGTGGGACATTTATGGGCTAGTCTTCATTAGGGTTAGCGCGTGCTTCTGTCTCTCTCCACAAACTTACACATTCCCGACACATCACACATATGCACGTCTTATCCTTTTTGCCTTTTACTGATCTTACACGAATATTTGGACAGCCATGGAGAGTTCCTAGGCAAGGATGGAAGAATCAGCATCTCATAATTTTCTGCGTGAGGCATGTGCCCAGCGGCAACATCCTCGAATACACAATATGACGAGATCCTTCTTGGAAAAGAAGTTCTTTTCAATGCGTTTGAGTTGGGTTATATTTCTTGATCAGTGGGCAAATAAATTTATCCCAGTATTATAGATTTCGATTGCAACATAGCAGCAGTGAAAGTTGACAGCCAACGCCGCTATCATGACATGTCCGCGGCTTATGTGCTCCGAAAAGCGGACGAGTAGGCTCATTTTATTCAGCCATATGCAATAATTTCCATAGCATCATTGAGCAAGACCGACTTGATGCTAAGGTAGCTGCAATTGTGGAGATGATTGGCGGCTTTCCCCTTTTGACTCCTTTGCAAACACTGGATAACATCTCCAAGGTGGTTGAGTGAGTATAGTCAGTTCTTGAACTTTGAGGGACTCAGTATCAATGATTTTTTTCATGCTTCCTACTCATTCTCTAATCATTCCGCAGTGTCACCAAAAACGATTGCTGTGCACTTGGCTGATCTACCGGTGGCTTAGTGTGGGTTGCGGTACTGGTGTTGCCACCGTCCAGATTGCTACACTATTACCCTCTACCACGATCTATGGTCTCGACCTAAGTCCGGTCCCAGAAGCATCAAAAGACATGGCGCCAGGTAACGTTGTTTGGGCTCAAGGAAACGCATTGGATGTTGACTACGACCAACCCGGCAACGACATAATGAGCCGCGAGATATTTACCCCCTGAGGACTAGATTACGTTTTCGGGCGCATGCTTTTTTTGGGTATCAATAATTGGCCAAAGTACTTCTCAATTACATCACATGCGTTGAGGTCTAGGGGCATTATTGAACACCAGGATCTGGACTGGAAGTTCTACCGTGCTGGGACGTCAGAATACGTGAGTGATGACTGGGAGTGGCGCAAAGCTGTTCTCTCCGGTGCCACAAAGTCAGGATTATCAACAACTTCTGGTTCCGACGCGGCACCTCTAATGCGAGATTGTGGTTTGGAGGTGATCAACGTTGAGACTTTCGAGTTTTCATTCGTTCCGTCAATCAAAACGCCCAAAAGCCAATCAATGGGGAGATATGTACAAGCTAAATCGATACCACAGTATCCAGAATTGCTTCGCAAAATGCTAGGAGCTTTTGGTATAACTGCTGAGAGGTTGGCAACATTGACAAAAGCATGTCTTCGTGATATTACTTCTGAGGAAGGATTGTATCAGAAGTATACTGTCACTGTTGCCAGAAAGCCATAGCCCCGGGGAACTTTTTCCATGCATAAATGCTTATACTCTGGCGAGATCAATATTTACGTGATGAGATTGTTCATTCCCAGTTTTTCTAGAATGCTTAGCCGTACTACCACTCATTCCTATTCTACGGAGCTTGCTGTGTTTTGATGAACAATACAGATGAAGTCTATGACCTCCACTTGCACTCTTAACCTATTGGATCATCTGGGCCACTTGGAATGTTGTTTCTCATGTCTTGTTAGGCCACGTACATTGGCAGATCCAGATGTTTATCGCAATGTTCCGGGAACATTTCACAATCATTGAAGTAACATTCTCACTCCTTTACGCGTATTTTTTCTTGACTTCCGCCACGATATCAACTAGTAATCCTGAACTTTCTTGCGCATGTTTCTCCAGTGTCGGGTCATAACATAAAACTCTCTATAATCTCAGCAAAACTTCATGCATTTTTGTTCGTTTTACTAAAAATCATCCCGTTTCACTATTTAATCACCGCTTGAGCCCTCTAGCCGAATGTATGATTAGAACAGCAGCCTTCAATTTATTGCTGTCAGCTGGGTCTAGCAATTTGAAAGGCTAAGAATGTGTCATTTTCTCATATAGGTATCGTGTATACCATGAACATGCAGGGAGTCGGAAATAGAAGCCCACATAACCTTTCATATACTTCAGAAATTTCATCATCTCTCGTTACTCGGTATATACAGACGCTCTTGCCTAATTCATGTCTCATATATACATAAATCTTCTATTTTCATTTCTTACTCCGCATGGATCAGTCGCGAACCTCAAGATGTCAACAATGGCACTTGTCTTTATTGAGACTTACACGAGCATTCTAGAAATTATTGACTCATTTAAAACAACCAAAATTGCCAGTTCGTGGTTCGGCCGGTAGGTTGCGCACAATTTTTTGTTAAAAGAGCCTCGTCTTGGCCAAGCATCCCATGTATATATATATTTTTGCCCATTAGTTGTTACCTGTTCTGGATGCTTCGGAATACATATAAAAATGGTTACCAGCACCAGTGTTCTCTTAGACGAGATCCAGTATCCGATCCAAGTAGTTTGATCTTGGCGAGGCTAATTTTGCGGACAACAAACTATCTTTGATCGAAAGGTCGTTCAACTTACTTACTAAGTGATACCAACCATTGTCTTAGCAATTCAGGCTGAACATCGTTAACTGTGTTTGGTAGTTGTTCAACATTGAAGTTGCTTTTGCAATTGTTTCTATTTAACATTAATTCACTGACATAATTCTTTTGGGATAATAACAAACTAAGCTCAGATCATCTATGCACTCCTGGCCGGCATTATCTCTTTCGACAAAGCATTTTTGTTCCGCTAAGTCTACGTTGTTTACGACACACAATATGCTATGTCACTATGTCTCGTTGCATCCTTTCGAAAGGAAGTTTCTAAATGATGGCATTAGCTTACATTCCAGTGAGGTTTCAGTATTGGCCTAAGCCAGGACAGATGTTTCCACGAGACCAAGTGTTCTTCGGTCCTTCGCTAAATTTTCCCATCCTTTCTCCATTTCAAGAGGCCATTTCCTCAGAAACATGTCGAAGGATTCTTCAGATCAACGAATAGCGCTGACTCGGCCTATGTAGGATAAGACTTAATTTTAGATCGGATTAAGCTTATCCATCTACTTAGGAAGTATGGCACGACTTCAGGAGTTATAACGGTTCATGATCCCAAGTGGAACGTTCTCTCGGAGGCTTGCTAGCATTCTGGGCATTCGAATTGATCTCACTCCCAGGATTATCGTGTCATCATCAATCCAATTGGAAGTATAACGGATATGCGATCCAGTTAAGACAACGTCTTAATACGCCTACCGTATCGATGAAGTTTTTCGTAAGCTCGTGTGGAATTTGTTGTGATGAATGGATAGACGTACGGGTATTCCATTCAAATAATGCTTACTGAATTCATCATCATCCAAGTTCATACATGATTATTGAGGCAATTTCTCCTTTCAATCCAATCAAAATGAAAGCCGTAGTTACACAGAAAATGCATCCATCAAAGGGGCTTACGCGAATATAGGTTCTACATGCGGCTTGTAATCAGTATAAAAGCCAGGCTCCGCAAGTAGACTTGCATCTAGGATCGGCGGATTATATGATTTTAGGCGTGATTCTATAATTTCAAAAATTTTATGCATTTAGAGCTTGATGAAATATTATGCTAAAATTATGCTCTACTTTTTGAGCTATTGAGTCCTACAGGGTAAACGAAAGTGGATCGATATTTAGGGCCTTTTTTAGGTAGGCGCCAAAATATTTAGTAGGGAGAAATCAATTAATTTTTCTCCTCCGAAAATATGCTTTAAAGTTCCCCATTTCAATATGCAGGTACATACTTGACCTGCCTGATAATACATATTTATATTTATATTGAATTGACGAATATACATAATTATATCATCACAGATCGCCCGACCCTACGTGCATCAACCCTCACCCCTTCTATTGTAGATCTTATCCATATCCTTATTCTGACAACACCTTGCTTCGGACTCCCATTTAACAAGGATACTCCAAATTTCAACAGAGGAGTTATTCATCATAACTCTCTGCAAGATGCTCGAAATTATCCTCTTAATCGGCGCCTTAGCGTACACAATTGCCTATGCTTCGGCACGTTTAACCCGGATCTGTAGCACACGCATGAAAGTCCCCGTACCAGTGGTAGTCCCAATCCAAGGTAAGGTGAAGGAAAAGATTGATGAGAATGAAAATGTCTCAAAATATCAAGCTTTGAGAAATCTACGAGATCAACACGAAGTTGCTGCTGTTATGTCAAGATTGATTGATGAAGATGGTGCAGGAGCTTGGCCTCCGAACGCAAATCATGATTCCTGGCCCATAGCCCTGAGTCCCTATAGGGAAGTTTACTTCCAGCTTATCCCAATTCTTTCTGCGGCTCCACCTTCACTGGATGATGATGTCAATAACGAGAGACGCAAAAAGTATCGATCTATTATGCGCAAGTCGTTGATGGAAAAGGTTAATATTCCGCAGGTTGTAGCCATCATGGCTGCAGTGGAAGCAGGAAATTGGGATCTCTTTCCGAGAGATGCATATAATGGCTTTTATTGCTGCGTTGCAGTTTGTCGTCATGCATACAGGTATGGTCTCTTAATTTAATAACCAATTTTTTCTAAGGGTCTGCAGATGGGCAACTATTCCTGTCGTCAAGGTCGCTCAGCTAGAGAAGATTGTCGAATTTCCATCTGAGCTCGACGCTCCCTGGCCATATCTCCAGCGAAATTTCGGTGTGGATGGCGATGCAGGAAACAATACCTCTAATGTTTTGCTTAACTTCAATACGAGAGGGGAAAGGATATACAGAATCAATGTTGGAATGTCGGACTTGATAAGATCATCCGAGGAAGTTTTCTTCCAAATGTTCTATGACCTTGAAGTAGTCGTAAGTACTCCTGACTATCGTTTCCAATCTACCCCATCCATCTTCTCATATCTACAGGCTTTCCCCATCTATCATGAAATGGTCCTTTCGATCCTCGCATACACCTCCTCTAGCCCAAACACGTGCCTTCCCCACTTCCGTACTATCAACACTCGTCTACGCGATCTCTTCCTTGTTTTCTACGAAAACCTTACTAAATCTCGTGTCTCGCATTCCGTCTGGCTTTCGTACATTCAAGGATTTCAAGGATGGGGTGTTGGCAAGATGGTCAATGGGGAGTATGTGAAGTACGATGGGCTTTCTGGAAACCACGTGCTATTTTTCCAAGCATTAGATGCGTTTTTGGGGATGGATAGATATCTGAGTGATGAGAACATGGAGAGATACATACCGATTAGACAAAGGGAGTTATGTTTGGCACTTAAGAAATATAGTTTTGTGAAAGGGTTGGGAGAAAAGGGATACAGTGAGATAGAAGAAGAGTTTGCGAAGATGGTTAATCAGTTGAAGGTATTTATTTCAATATTCAATTCGATCACTCCATCTCTCTTGTTTTAGTAGTTCTTGTACTAACATACCATCATCAGGTATTTCGCTCAGCCCATCGCGCACGCGTAATGTCCTATCTCCAAGAACCTGCCCCCGAACGTCTGGTAATGACAGCTGGTAAATCCGTTCTTGAATACTCAAACACGAAAGGCCTGGCAGATTCTTTGAAGCCGCTAGATGATATGTTAGCAACTAGGTTAAGAGAAACTTCTAACATTGGAGCTGCTTGTGTCAGAGCTTGACGCGGTTATGGAAAGACTTAGGACTTATAGTAAAATAGGCTTGGGATAAATTATGGATTGGATACACCTATAGAAACATGCTGCAATGCAACAAATGGACTTCGGGTACTTTCTCGTGTTCTTGATACCTAGAAATGATCTTAATTTTAATTTTACCTCGACTTCCTTCTCTGCAGAGCTTCTTCTTGCTCCCGTCAGCATTATTTGGCGCTCTGTTTGCCCAGTAAATGCACCCATAATGTTTCATCACTTTGAGTGAGCTTGTGGTAAACTTTAATGCATATTGCTTACAACATACATCAATCAGTCGATGTTGAGAGTTATCAAGTAGGTCGTTGTAGCGGGATACTAAACTGATGCACCATTTAGACTAGAACAGCTCATAGCATTTTTAAAATTTCCGGTAATCCACTTTACTATGCAAAATGATAAAAGGAGAAAAGAATTCTGATGTATATCGGGACATTTATATTTCGATTAAAGCCTATGGAGTCCTGAATCCTGATTCACTACACTAGAACCATCTCAGGTCAGAATTTTCTAGTAATGTGGAGGGTGTGCGGCACCAGCGTAATTCTTGAAATAAATACACTTGCTACTAACAGCCTTACAAGTGCCATGACTTGGGACCGAATGACATAGACAGCACTGCATGTTTTGCTCACAGAAGCACTAAAGTCTAGTACCCCCTTTTCGGACCACCCCTCATTCTGAATTTCTGACCATCATTTTACACCAAAAATCGTGATTTTCACCTGTTAATAACTTTACAACCAATCAATAGAGTTTGATGAATTTTGAACTAGAAATTCATTATATGATTATTAGTGAATTCCGAATATTTCAGAATTTTTAATCAAGCCTAAGTTGAGATGAGAGTTATCTATGAAGACTTTTAGTGAATATAATTACTACTATCGCCCTATCCACGAACGAGTTGTGAAATTAAACTTATAAGTATCATATATCCAGGATACCTTGGCTGTAAATAACTCGGGGCAATGAACCTGCGATAAAGAACTTGGTGTGAGAATAAATGGTTGATATAGGTGATATATAATTGGAGCAACCTTGTGAAGTGATTTAAGGGCCGAATAACCGAGGAGATATCTGTAGAACCTCATCTTGAAATTTTCAACTAAAAGCTGTATAGAATTTACGATTATGCTTCCCTGGTGGCAACGTAAAGCTGTGTGTTCCGCTATCATCATAGATGTGTGCTTGCAGTGTGACATTTTATAGCTCGTAGATATTTTATCTCCTAATATCATTATAAGAGATCATTTATATAAGGTAATATCTATGTTAGATTCACTTGATAGTCTATGGGAAGATTTTCTTTATGGACTTAGGCGGTTTTTGGGAGCAAAAAATATGCTAGCATATATAATATTTGTAATATTCAACTGCTCGCGGCGAATTCTCTATTATCTGTTTGGCAGGATAATATATATTAGCATTTGATGTATTCTGATTGGTAGAAAAATAGATTCGTAGCCGTTGAATGCTTCAATAGAACCTCTTTTTCAGAATTCAGCATATTCAGCATATGATCAAATTTGATTGGTGGTATTTGAATGTTACCATTCGATATTCAATTAGTGATTTCTGCCAAGCACTTTTCACATCAATATTCAAATGATAGCATTCGAATACCACATATGCTGGCACATTTTTTTGCTCCCAAACAGGCCCTTATATTAGAAACCAGTCTTCTACCATCAAGACTCTAAATTAGTTATATATTCACATGGAAGGATTCTCGCGGAATTATATATAGCATTCATTACAAGGTTCAAAAATAACATACCATACATCCTCAAGCACTACCAGTAATCTTTCTATCAATTCTCGGCTCGTGAATCCTCAATTTTAACCCCCTAAAAATTCTAATCTAATTTAATGGAAGATTAAATAAAAGACAGTCCCAAGATCCTAGGTTATCTACAGCATCCATCCTCCCACAGGTAATTATTTTACACAAATCCTCTCAACGACATCCACAATCCAATACATCGTTAAGAACCCCAATTACCCTTGCCCTGAACCTATTCCTAAACCTCTAACATCATATTCCACAAAGATAGCCCTCTTCAACAATACTCCCACAAAAATTAATATGCATCTCATAAGATCTCTACCCAATTAGAAAATTTACCCAAATGGAAGCGGTCCCCTATTTGGTCTCGGTAAAATTTCACCACCATTCATATAATAAACGTGCATTTCTGATTCTACTGAAAATCTTATAAGCATCATTGTTATAAGTAGGCCGTCTATGATTCATCACGGTAAAGATTGACCACTCTAGCCATAATTAATTTTTTCCACAGTGTCATTACTTAGTCTTTGACTGTCCTCGCTCATAAATTCTCTAGCGCCCTCATGTGAATAGCTCAGATAGTATAGTGACTCATTCACATCGAGTTAATTATCTTATATTTCAGTACCTACTTGAAGTATTAATACCTACTAGATCTGTTTACGTATACCTCGAGAATCTTTTCAAAAATATATCCATTGCTTCCATTCCTGTTATCAAAAAAGTCTACTATTACCTTCAGCTCTCCTCCAAGTCCTCGTGTGTTACCTAAAACTCAACACGACTCATTCAACTCTAAAATTATGGTCGTTCTACCCGATCCCACAAGGTAACAATCCCACATCTCCATCTATTTTCTTCTCTCCTTTCTTCTAATCCCAAAAATCCATCACTAAGCGACAAATGGCTATTTTTCAGACACGTATATTTACGACAAGATAGTTTGAACCCAATATCCAAATCTAGACATCGACATCAACATCGACATCGACAACGAGCACGCGATGGAACAATTCGACTCTGGAAGTACTATCTACCCCTGAAAACCCAAAAGGGTCAATTTAAATTCGTGCTATTTCTTCAACGTTTAATAACTATGGTGGAAGAAAATTATCATCATCGTCATCGACATCGACATCACCACAGCCATAAATGGAAAGTTAGTTCCCCAATTGAGGATAGGTATTATCAGAGTATACGAGATTTATCAGGATAGGGGGAAGATGAGAATCTGATGAGTGGGGAGTGGAAGAAAGTGGTTCAGAGGGGAATAGGGAGGAAGCGAGGCGAGAGAGGAGGGGGGCGGAAAAAATACATTTGGAGAGGAATGAGAGGGAAAGGGAGAAGGGATATATATGGCGTGGATATCATGATGGGGAACTAGAAGAAGGAAGAGAAAGAATTGTAAGCTACGAATTTTCCAAAGACGATACACACACCAAGCAACCCGTACCTCAAAAAAAAAAAAAACCTCAACCCCCAAAGGAAAAGCCCTTCTGAAAAAAACGCCCAAATGGATAATCTGCACCCGCGACACCAACCACTGTCCCCGCACACACGAAATGGTAAGATGTAACAAACGTTGCGGTCTCACATCCTGCAATGATAAAGCCCATCATTGTCAAAAATATACATTGATTGAATGTTCTGATCCCGAATGTGCGAAAAATCAAAAAGCGAAGAAGAAATAGGAAGAAAGGGAGAGAAAAGTTGGGAATCTGAAGTTTGAGAAATGGATCGATTGTACTTGTGAGGATCCGTGGTGTAGGGTGTAGGAGGAAGGTTTTGGAGATTAAGGGGATCGAGGTGCTGAAGAGTAGGCTTTTTGTTACCGGGGTGTTACGAGGTTTGCCGTCTAGATCACGTGGAAGTGCTCTAGGCTCTCGAGGTGGTTTATAACTAGGCATCAGGCAGGGACTTAAATAATGACAATAATGATATACAATTTGTAACTAATAGTAGAGTATACTAAATGATTGATCTTGAGCACGAAGCTCTATACAAAGGAAATCCATCTTGATTATATAGACCTTCATGCCTATGGCTAGTCAGGACCGCGCAGCGGTCCATAACGTGACTTAATCACGTTACCTTGGTTTAGTCATGTGACGCAGCGTAGAAGATAGCCGTCGTAACAAGATTTTTCTTTGTATAGAGCTTCGTGCTCAAGATCAATCATTTAGTATACTCTACTATTAGTTACGAATTGCATTTCATTATTGTCATTACTTAAGTCCCTGCTTGACGCCTAGTTATAAACCACCTCGAGAGCCTAGAGCACTTCCACGTGATCTAGACGGCAAACCTCGTAACAAATCTCAAATCTAACAAAAATAAAAATAAAAATAAAAGACAAAGATTAAATAATTTAAATAACAAAAAGAAAATTAAAATCTAAAACTTAAACTCAAATCTTTAATTTATATTCATTTATAAACATGAGATTTTATTTTCTATATTTATATTAATATAAAATATTAAAGTGAATGGTTCCTGCGTAACACGTGCACAGGGCACTAGTCCTATTAGGACTAGTGTCACACTCAAGAATACTGGGTAAAGTATCTTGTATTAGAAAATACTAAGCTAAGGAGAAAAGAAGAAGGAAAACAAGAGTAGAGAGTTTTCCTATGATTAAATACAAACGGGGCATGCCACGTGACCCGGAGGTGTGAGGCGTCACAACTAGATTGAGAAGCTCTCTGTAAGAGAGCTTCGCACTTCTGTAGAACAAGAAGAGAGATTAACCTACTAGACCAATATTACCTCAGTTCTGCCCTATCAGCTTCCCACTATTCCCTGTGTGAGGTCATTCCTTTTAACATAAAATAATATAAAACAACAATCATATAACGTGGTTTATCAGCGAGTCGCCACTATCAGCGAGTCGCCACTTTTTCACTTATTCAACCACTTTAAACTTATTTTAATCAACAATTATTGAATCAATTGATTTAAACTATTAAGAATCTAATAATCTAGGGTCTATTATATTATTAGAACAAGTTCTTGAATTGTGACCAGTCTTTCCATATTTACTACAGCATCGATTAGTAGATGATTCCCCATTGGAATTTCCCCTATTTTGATGCTCGTCGCGTCGAATCTGAATATCCACCTTTTGTTGTGATATTATATCTATAGCTTCCTGACCAGTAAGTACTCCTCCTTGACGTAATTGAGTTTTTTTAACGTGTCGACGTTTGCTTAATGCCTCATTTGCCTTCCGAAACATACGAATCTCTACACTTAAGAGTGTATTCTCATGAGCTAGTCGTTCTGTACCCTTAGCTAATGCAACTACAGTTTCGAATATAGGTGTAGGAGAGCTTGATTGATGTCGAGCAATTCGAGATTTCACTAAAATTGATTGTAAAAGAGCTTCAGTTGGATTGTGAGGTGTTTGAGAGACCCAAGAGTTGGCAGATTCCAAAAGGATCGATGGAGGGGTAGGTGTGCGAATTCGAATATCTAATTTCGAAAGCACAGCTTGAGGATCAAATGGTATTAGTCCTGCTCCTCGAAAGCCAGCTTTCATATTCTGAATTGTAATCGATTGTTAATATACAGCTTTGAAAGCTATAAAGAATTCAATCTTAGAAATATGATTGATATATGCCTTGATAAACTCATCAACTTGACAACTATATGAACGTTTGAGTACGCTAAAACATCCAACATCAAGTGGTTGAGTTAAATGACTTGAATGCGATGGTAACTTTACATATATAATGTTATTTGACTTGCAATATGATTGGAAAGGTATCGATTCATGACTTTCATACCTATCCAATACTAACATTCGATATTTGCCCTTTCTTCGTTGACTAGTATATTTATCGAAGTGCTTTAATCATTCTAAACCTGTCTCATTATTCGTCCATCTATTAGAAGTAGGTTTAATAGCCCAATCTGCAGGAAAATCACTCTCTGTATACCAATTAGAAAGGTGATATTGTCCTTGTACCATTAAAAATGATGGTATAGTTTCACCCTCTCCATTACCACATATAATCGCTGTAGCCCATTCTCGATTGCCTGATTGTATTGCCTTGCTTCTGCCACTTCGTTCAGCATTAGTTACAATCATTCCAAGGCATATTATACCCATCATAAAGCCTGTTTCGTCGAAATTGTAGAAATCGCAATCCTGAATCCCATATTTCGCCTACATATTCGATACCAATCGAAACCACTCTTCAATAAGCTCTGGATCTTCGCAAAGAGCTCTTTGAAAGTTATAGACACGATTAAAACGTATCTTTAATTCTGAATATTGTTTTACAAAGCGATGAGCCCAGAGCTTTCCAACCTTCTTTGCACCTTGTGTTTCGAGCATATAATTCGCCATATCTTCCACACTATTTAATTTAGGGGCAAATCCTCTATCATCCATATCAATAATGTATTGAATAAGCACCTCCTCTTCTAATTCAGTCAAATTATGACTTTTTGGTCGATTTTCAGCTATATTACTACGATCTTGAATTCTGTCGAATAATGTAGATCGAGGCACACTATAGTAATTAGCAGCCTTTCGAATCGTCAATCTTTTGTTCAATTCGATAGTCTCAATGGCCAGGACTATTCGTGCTTCTTTTGAATGAATTTCCATTAATAACTATTGAATAAACGCGTATTGAAGTGAGAGAGTAAAGGATATTGAAAAAGTGTCCGACCCACTGATATGTCCGACCCACTGATAAACCACGTTACATAACATAACATAACATAATATAATATAATATAACATAACAATAAAAACCCCAACAATAAAACTTCTCTAATCCCCTCCAATCCTTTTCAAACCATCATTTATCAAATCATCTTACCAAATAATTAGAAAAAAGGATCCCATCTATATAATATATATATATATATATATATATATTATATTAATCTTATAATCAATATCCAGCTGTGACGGAAATCCCTGCTTTCCTCCCACCTTTATTATATAAGAAACCTCAGGTACATTAACCATGTCCACACATGATACGATTACTCGAGATTAGTATGCGATTTAGGTGACCTGAGGATCAGATCCGGACAAGTACTAGGTATCAATGGTTATCGGTAAAGTAAGATCATTGGAGGAATAAATATGACTTCTTTTTGCCTAGCTATTGCGGCTAGGCCATTCATTTGTGTATATATAGAGTAGCTATCCCCATCTACAGGTGCTCTTCACCTGTAGATTCTAAGTTAAATACAATTGCTGGTCTATAAACACCCTTTTGGTCACACCAGCAAACAAACTCAAAAATAACCTAAAAATAGTAAAGAACTAAACACTCCACTCCACCTCGTAGAAAACACAGCACAATGTCTTTTGAGGATTTTTGTGCCAAATAATTAATCAATTATCCTATCTATCTATTTCTCATATTAAATGAAATATGATACAGAATATGATTTACCACTGTACTGTACTGTACTGTACTGTACTGTACTGCACTGCACTGCACTGCACTGCACTGCGCTGCGCTGCGCTGCGCAGCGTAATGAAATCCCGACTGAATCTGCCTTGTCTGCCTTGTCCGTCTACCTCGAACTTGCTCCAGCTTTACTGGGATTTTTTTTTTTTTTTTTTTTTTTTTTTTTTGGAAAGGTGGAGTAAGGGTATATGTATGTGATGAGATTTATTGGATTGGATTAGATTTCAAGAATTGAATGAATTGGATTGAATAAAGAAATAAGAAAAGACAAATCTCGAGTAGAAATTCATTGAGGCTTTGCATGTATGCTTCGTGTACCATGCACCACCCACCATCTATGATTGGTACTAACGAAAAACAACACGATATCATATAAGACCCGAATCTATTTATAAAAGGAACTCCTCATGCTTGTGGGGAAAAGATGGATGGATGTGTGATGGGATGGATGTATTGGTATTGTTTAGCTATGGGGTATATAGGGCATTACGTATGTATTCTAGAGAATATGTATATGATGAGTTTGAGGTTGAGGCTAGATCATTGTATCTATAGGCTGTGCTTTATTCATTAGTATAGTAAGTATAGTACTACTTACTATAGATACTAAGTAAATGGGGCATGGGTATATATTATAAATGAAGTAACTGACTGATAATAAATAGCTAGACATTGAAAGATTCGACTCGACTCGATTCGAAGAGCAAGTAAGTATAAACAGATACCAGGAGAACCAGCCTAGGAACTTCTCATAGGATGGAGAACTAACTCCATTAAGCGGGTCATGAAAATATTTGTGGGGATATCGATATCGAAGTCTAGGAGGAATGCGTAAGGATGCGTGCCATTGCGTGGGTTAAAACCCAGTTCAAGGGGTTGAGGAACAAAATTGATGGGCTAGATGGATACCCCATAGGGCTCTTCTTCATTAATTTCAGACGAGATTTCGTTTGGTGTTTGTTTGACGTGAAACATGTAATGGGGGAAGCGTTAGGAAGGAAGCAGATACTCTGTAAAAATGTACTAATAGTATACCTAGGTAGGTATCAAGAATGAACTAGTAGATACCTAGTTATGTAGAGATGATTGATTTGAATAACTTATCCAATAATCCTCGAGTACCTAGGTAAGTAACCAACCTTATTCCTTATAAAAATCAGAGTTTTAGCCTTTACAACTCTATAAAGTGGTTGAAATTTAGATTGATATGCAGATGCAGATAGATAGATGCTGAGATGATTAAGGAGATTAGAAAAAAAATGTTAAATAAGCTTTGATAATAAATAATTAACGAAGATCGGAATTTAATGTCTGGGATTATTGGTGTTGATGTACTCCGTATGTACTGTAGAATATGTATAGAGTTTATATTGACTATAAAATCATGAGATTATTATACTTGGAATATTAGTACTATTCAATTATTCATAAAGACTATAAGATAGTGAATTTATGGAGTCAACTCACTCTAGAAAGTCTAGATGAATTTATGGTTTGATGTTGACTTTTGTCATGATTCAAGACCTCAATCGAACTGGACTGGACCAGAAGAAGTGGAAGAAGTGGAAGGAGTGGAAGAGGTGGATAAAGTGGACGGGTCTCGAGCTAGTTTTGCATTTTTGTATTTTTGCATTTGTGAAATGATAGTGAAACAATCTAGAGGATTTCTGTAAGTTGTATTGTGGTGTGGTGTAGTATGCATTTTTCGGAATTTTGTCTTGATGGTGATCACGTGTTTGTATTGATTCGGGGAGATTCAGATTGAGGTTGTTACCGTTGTTAGGCTTTTATGAGCCTAGTTTATAAGGCAACAATAATTATCTATATGGTCCGTAGGTCCGAGAACCTAGCTTTAACAAGAGTAGCCCTCAATGAATATAAGACCTTCGACATGAACCTTTTTACACCGTATTGTTACTCCGTAGTATTGGCTAGCAGACTAGGTGGCGAATGTTGAGGTTATACCCGATAGTTTGACGTAAATGACAGTGTAGAAGGAATTTCAAATCTCATCTCACCTCACCTCACCAAACCTCAAGACTTATACTCTGTATCATGGCTTTCGTGATCTCGATTTCGGGGCCGAAGTTCAAAGACTCGCAGTTGATCTAGAACTCCTCTACCATTTCATCAATTCATCAACGCATAAACTTTGACGCATTGAATTTTCGTGATATATGTTTATTTCCATTTTACGGTTATTGACTCATCCGCATAGGAATGAAAAGGTATCATACATCCGTTAATAGTAGGCGCAGGCGCAAGGGAATAACCTGACTTGCCACGCGTTTGTCAGCGTAATGAAAGCCTTTATCGTGATGTGAGTGGCTTTCCTTTGATTATGCGAGGGGTGGCTTGGAACTTTGGAACTTGGGAACTGCTTTTCTTGCATTGGTGTGTTTCGGGGGGCTGTGCAAAAGGAAAAGGATGTGATGGGTTATATACCTAGCATTTTGAAGTTTGTACACCTTATTTACAAGTCAGGGCGGATAAACTGCGGAGTTTATGGTCGGATAATGGATGATGATGATGATGGATCATGAATGATGTGATTTGATGGGTTGGCTTGAGGCTTTATGTATGGTGAAAGGCAAGTGCCGATGGGCGGTAAGTAATTCATTAGGTGTATCGTGGGAACGAGGTTTTGAAGGGTTAGAATACGAAGATCGTATTTTATAAATAGTAAAGAATGGAGATGTTGTCGAACATGATGATCAAAGGTTAAGTGACGTCAAAGTATATCTTCAAAGAGTACTGTGGTAGTAATGACTGGGAAGTATCAATGGGTGGGACTAGATGATACATGTACAATATGCTTAGAATGTGGAGTGAGTGACAGGCACGAGTAGGCAAAGGGGGGATTCCACTTCTTTTCCTTATCAAGATCTTAATATCAACTATTCAAATTAAATCAACACGGATTTACTTGTATATCATTGTGTATTTACACCTCATTCTTCTATACATTGTGCAACAAACGAAGAGTCGTCAGATAATAAGTACAAATTCTGTCTATACAAACGATACGATATTAGGTATTTCTTGAATATATATATATAACCATTAACACGATAAAGACATGAAATGCATTCTACCTTACCTTCCATGTGGCATTCGGCTCAACAGGCCATTCATTCACTTCATAAATCATCAATAAATCAAGATATACCATACAATTTCTACTCTACTTATTACCGTTGAACTACTTACTCACTGGCATATCCAAATCCTCCAAATTGAGTTACATTCAGTAAAATAGCCGATACTCCGATCTTGTTGGGTTCATTCCCTTATTCTCTTATTTTTCCAACCAAACAAATCAATTTCTTTCATTTATGAACGCGCGTCGTCTTTTGGAATTCCCGCTGATCAAAGCCACCCCTCGCAGATTATTTGGCTCTTCCCCGAAAAGGATAATGGGTACCTGATACGCAGGTAGAGTAGAGAGAGATATTCAAGAAAAAGATCAAGGCTACACTTTTTCCGCTTCAACTTGTCGATTTAACACATTTTATTAACACATTATTTTAACACGATACACCACACTATACACTACACCACACTATACACTACATCACACTATACCACGCTATACCACACTTTACTTCACTTAACTTCACTTCCCTAGCTTCACTCCAACACACTACTCCGTTCCTAAACTTAAACGCCTAACGGATTAACGCTACTCTACCGGAAAGGATATGTTAGCCCCTTCTAGTGTTTAGAATTAACCATCCCTTCCATCTTTCATCAATTTAACCACTTCGACACAATCTCTAAACATCTTCTTGAATTTATTCGCTTTATTCATTTATTATTCATTCATCAACAAGAAGTAGGAAGGACGAAAGAAGAAAAAGAAGGAAATAAATCAAAAGAATCGCAAAAGATCAACATCATCAACAACAACAACAAATCAGTCGTTCAATCAATCGCATTAACAATCCATCATCAATAACACCAAAAACAAATCAATTGTTCAATCACATAACAATTCATCAGCAACTACCCTCACCGTCCATCGCAATCATGAAAGCCGAATCAATTTCATCAACACCTCAAGTTGGTTGTTTAGATCCTCTCGAATTAATCGATTATACCGAATATGAAACTGTATCATATCACTCACCATCTCTCTCACCATCTTCATCAAAATCACAATTTGTACCGACATCTGTAAGATCATCCGTAGTATCTACACCGACCACATTACCTTCATCAGATCAACCAACTCTTTCCGGTCCAAGTCATCAATACGATCTTTATAGACAACAAACGGGTATTCCACAAGGTGCCATCGCAAATACTTTGGCAGTTAATGAAAACAATGGTCATATCAATCGATATAACTTTCAAGATACATCATACTTTTCCGCCATGAGTCCAAGTGAGGAATTTGTGGATTTTGGATCTGCCCCATCTCGAACACCATTTCATCCATCCGATGTTGAAATGGATCAAGATCCAGCCTTTTTTTATCCAGAACAAAATTTTGTTGACCCAAGCAATATTGGATCTCAAAATTTACCAGTTGGTAATGTCCTACCAGCACAATCAAGTCATGTCGGTCGTCTTTGGCCTGGTATGCATCAACAACAAGCCGCTCTTGCGAAGGCTCAAGCACAACAAAAGCAACAACAAGCTATTATCGCACAACAACGACAAAATGCTATGGCTGCCAATGGTCAACAAAGACAGCCTCAACAACCACGTTCCAGAGCACACACTGGTACCGATCCTATTGTTGAAGAAAAGATCTCTCAACTTCTTAAATCAATGAGACAGGGTAGTGTCGCTACTGATGGTGATGAGGGAAATTCCCAAAACCTTACACATGTTCATCGTATGCGGAAGGAAGAAGAAGATATGGATGAAGATGAAAGATTATTGGCCAGCGAGGAAGGAAAGAAACTCAGTAGCAAGGAAAGACGACAACTTCGAAATAAAGTATCAGCTCGTGCATTCAGATCAAGAAGAAAGGGTAAGCATATTATGAGGGTTGAATTGGATAGAATGCTAATATTTGATAGAATACATCAGTCAACTCGAAGGAGAAATTGCTGTCAAGGTTAATGAGAATATGGATTTGAAATCTCAAAATAGAGCATTGATGGAAGAAAATACTCGTCTATCAGATCTTACAAGAATGCTTCTTTCCTCACCTGCATTCTCCGGTTTCCTCGATACTTTATCCTCAAACCCAGCTGCGCAACAAGCACCACCTCCACCTCAACAAGCTCCTATTCAACATGAACAACCAATACAAGTTAGAAAGGATGTTAATCCATATGCTGCTCAACAACAAATTCAACAACAGCAACATATTGGTATGGTTATGATTCCAGAACAAGCTATGGATTTTGCTATGCTTGATATTAATGCCGATGGATTTGGTTATCAACCACAAGTTTACTCTGTTCTCTCTCTACCAGAACTCATCATCGATTCATCAATTCTCTCAGGAAAGTCATCAGATCTCATCACTCCATTAGAATCTGATGACGTAAAAGTAGAACTCCCAATTGTGGAAAGGAAATTAGTTCATGAACTTGCACCATCAGCTGTAGTTGAGGAAACTATCGATGAAGAATTCGATGCGGATCCAGCATTTGCTCTTTTCGCTGATGATACTACTTCTTCAACTCCATCACCAACGACTCACTCGAACTTCGATTTCGATTTCTCGACTCTGAACCTTAACAAACCTTCTCATTTCGAATTAATCATTCATGATATCGAAAACGAAAAATTAATCTCTTCTAATGCTTTTGATAGAGCTTCTAAGTTGTGCAATAATTTGGATTCGTTGATGGAGAGGTTAGAAGCAATGTTTTTGTAAAGATATTGAAGGAGATGTAGATGTTGATGTTAGTGGGAGATAGGAGATGGGAGGTGGGTTAAAGGAGGAAAAGCTTGTATTTGTTGCTGCGGTTTAGCGTTTCTTTTCTTTTTCTCTTTTCGGTTTTTAAAGTTGTCAAATTCTTACTATTTACTTACTTATATCTATCTATCTTCTCTGTTTTGTGATTTCTTTATATGTACAGAGTATTTTTTTTTTTTTTTTTTTTTTTTTTTGCTTTTTGGTTGGCTGGCTGTTTTGTTTTCTCTGGGTCAAGGGCATGGGGGTTATCTGGATTCGTTGTTGTTGCTTTTTATTTGGAGGGACTGGGATGAATCGAATTGAATTGAATTGGATAGATAGGTAGATAGTTAGATGAAGTTTGGGTATGATGTGTGTGTGTGTGTGAGAGATGGGTGGGAATGGGAATGGGAATGGATATAGGAATAGAAATTTGAATATGAATATGAATTGGATGTTGCTTTACTTGTTGCTTGTAGGTTGTTGCTTGTGGCTTGTAGGTTATAGGTGAAATATATATATATATGCTTTTATATCAGTTTTGAGATGAACGTGGATGGGGATGAGGGTGTGATTGGGATGTGAATGGGGATGTGGATGGGAATATGGATGGATAGATATTTTGATGTTGACTTTGCCTTAATCTTCCTTGATTAAATTAGATTGAGTCAAGTCAGTTGAATTGGATGGATGGATTGGATTAACAATAGCAAAAGAATAGTGATAAGGGTGGTGATTTAGAAATCAGGTCAAATAAGATCAGATCCAATCAGATAACAATAAGATTTAATATTCAATCAAGATAAATAAAATAAAGTAACAAAATAAAAAAGTTGTTGAAACTGAGTTGTTTGGAAGTAGTAGTATTATTAGATGTAGGTTAAACTAAGGATCTAAGTTACAGTAATGGTAGAATTGAAGATATTCCCAATTATGGTCCGTGCACCATAATGGTCATATGACCTCAATTCTAGGCCCATAATGACCTTAATTTCAACAAAAGTAGATATTAAGATTTTATAATTTTATAATTTTAAATCATAAATTAGATTTATATAAATAAATAATAAATAATAAATAATAAATAATAAATAATAAATAATAAATAATAAATAATAAATAATAAATAATAAATAATAAATAATAAATAATAAATAATAAATAATAAATAATAAATAATAAATAATAAATAATAAATAATAAATAATAAATAATAAATAATAAATAATAAATAATAAATCTTAAATTAATCTCTCAGACTCTTTGTGTTACGAGGTTTGCCGTCTAGATCACGTGGATGTTACGACGGCTATCATCAAGCGCCGCGTCACATGACTAACTTAGGGTACGTGACCTTAAGTCACGTTACGGACCGCTGAGGAGCGCTGGCAGTCCTGACTAGCCATAGGCACAAAGGTCTATATAATCAAGATGGATTCCCTTTATATAGAGCTTCGTGCTCAAGATCAATCATTTAGTATACTCTACTATTAGTTACGAATTGCATTACTGTTATTACTTTAAGTCCCTGCTTGACGCCTAGTTATAAACCACCTCGAGAGCCTAGAGCACTTCCACGCGATCTAGACGGCAAACCTCGTAACAGTAGGAGAGCTTCGCACTTCCGTAGAACTTAGATAATGAGTGATTCATATACAAGACCAATATAGCCTCAGTTCTGCCCTATCAGCTTCCCACTATTCCCTGTGTAAGGTCATTCCTTTTAATATAATCTAATAATCTAATAATCTTTTTTGATATTTTATTCGAGTCTAGTTATTCTATATGACATAATATGATCTATAACAATCACAGTTATTATTCTATAAACAACTGGACAATCACGTCTTGTTCATTATCCCATACGTATATAATCAAACAGGAAAACTCATTCCTGATCTTGATCTTAATACTGAATCTTGATATCGAATATTGAACTAATAGCTCTACATACCAATCTCTTACATCATCATCACAACGAGCTTGTACAATACTCCTTACAATCCAATAAAGATAGAAAGCATGCACACACTTTCTACTATCAGCCCCTACTCAGGAATCGTTCTCTTCTTCCTCCCTTTCTGAGCCCTCTCACACAACTTTGGTTTTTCCCCTTTAGTCTCCCATCCCTTTTCCCTCTGTACGCGTCCAATCTTTGGATATTTCCCACTATTTTCAAAGAACCCTATATTCACCAATCACAAATTAGCGTAATCCATATATCCCCTCCAGAAACCCCCTCCAAAAACCAAAAAAAGATCCATTTGAAAACCCCCCAAAATCACTCACCAACCCAATGACCCAACGCCTCCGCAACACTCTTCCTCGCATCCCTCAATTCCCTCTCCCTCAACTTCTTAAACTCCCCCTTCCCAATCTTCCTCACAATCTCGCTATCAACCTCCTCATCATCAAGCGGAAGGAACATTTCCTCCACCCCCCGCATATCCGGCGTACGATCCTCTTGAAAACAATTCGTAACAAATGCTCGACTGGCATCTACTCCTGCGAAAAATTGATAACTACCTCCTGGTCCATAATGTCTACGTCCAGCGGAAACATCGTAGATAGTGCCATTGAGAGCGAGATAGATGGGAAGTGAGGGGTTTGTGCCGTCGTATTGAACGAGGTCGGCGTCGGTTAGGGAGGGGGGTCCATTCTGAGGTTGGAGTTAGTGGTGGTGTTTAAATGTGCGTCATTTTTTCATATTCTCCTCCTGAACTCGCACCGCCTCACAACTAGCAAAACAAAATTGAAGAAATTCCAAAGCCAAACCTAAGTGTAAAAAGAAGAAAGTACAAACCAATAAGGCTCTTAAAACCTCCCCCCTAGTCCACATAGGTCTCTTCATGCCCCAAAAATAACTATTCCTCGTAACCACATAACTCAACCCACAACTAGCTATGAATATAAAAACAATTGATCTTAATAAATCTACTAATGAAAAAGGAGCTGCATCTTCATCTGCTGCTAATTTATTAAGAGATTTCTTTGTTTTCTTTTCCGCAGATGAAGTAGAAGAGGGAGAGGTTATGTTTGTGTTCGTTTTGGTGAGAGGTTCATCAGAGAGGATGTCTGCAGATATTTCTTTTCTGCGTTCTCGAAGTGTGTTTATATCTGTCATTTTGAATAGCAGTCCAAGATCTGTGTTGGATGGTACTGTATAGTATTGTATTGGAAAGAAGAGAATGGAAGGGATAGAAGGGAAGGAAAAAGATTGATATGTGGCAGCTTCGTTGAAGGTAAATCGATATGGGGAAGTTACGGGCCTGTAACTTAGCCTCGGTCGTGCATGGCAAATGGGGTCATCGTCATGGGAACTTTTATTTACATTTAGGCTTGGGGTAGACGGGAAGAGGAGTTTCGAGGCTTTGAGCGGGGAAAACGGGTTTATGATCTTCAATTAGTTTTTCATGCAACGCCAAATTGTCGTAATGGTGGCTGAGATTGTCTTAAACTTGGCATAGGAACCTTTCCCATCGCACTCGTATTCGCACTCGCATTATTTCTGGATTTGATCTCTTATGTTGCGCTGCTCATATTAGTCCACAATTCCACAATAACAGCTCTAAATCACATCTGCAAAATGTATCAAGGTCCCATCAATTTGGTATCAAGAAGCAAAGGCTGAATTCGATATGCTACACCTGCCTGCCTTTCCTAACAAGCCCGAGGAAAAGTCATAATAAAAAACCCATCCGGATATCTCATGCCAAACGTCCACGTACAATCCATAATCGTAATGTAGTCGACTATCTCGAAGACGAGGTCATGACCATCGTGTATTGCCTTGATCGTTTTGAAGTTTTCGGATTATTGATTTCTTTACTCGTCGGCTTGGATAGCACGGGCTGTTGTGAAAAAATAGTTAGCTTTGTGATCTCCCCAAGAACAGTTTCATGATGAATTTCGCTATTTATTATTCCAATGGATGAAGATGAGTTGAAATTCTTGCGAATTGCCGATAAGAGGGTAATGTCGAAATTTGAAAACGTACTGTAGATATCACCGGCGTGGTGCTTGACGACAATCTTAATCTGTCCCTTCTCCTCCAATTCCTTCAAACATCTTCTGGCCAAAGATCCGTTGATCTTTAATCTATCGACCAAAACAGCGACGGTGACGAGACGGTAGGATTGAACATCTTTGGCGAGTCTGTCGGAAGTGGCCTTATCGAGGATGACGGCGTGTTGGGCCTTGTCCTTGACTATATTAAGTTTTCATCAGTTCCCATTTTCCCTTGATCGAAATTCCATTTTAGAAAATATGCGCACCCTTTCCCTTGGACCACTTCTTCTTTTGCTTCTTTGCGCCGGTGTTTGCTGGAGCCATTTTGTCGGTTTGATGTTGTCGTGAAGAAAATGGATGGTAATCTCAAAATCAATTCAATAGAGGTGGATTGATTTTTGAATTTAGGGCTTGTGTGTGCCGAGCGAAAAAAAGCGCTAATTTTGACGTAGATATCACGTGATATTGAAATATCAGAGTTGGGCTAACATCTTAAGCTTTTACATCTCAACATCTCAACATCTTTAAATAAGGAGTAGGAAGAAGAGAGAGAAACTAACTCGTTGTATTGAATGTTGAACAATGATTCATTTCAGAGTGTCACATCTGATCAGCTTACGTTCAGGCAGCTATCCTACTAGCCTTTGGAAATACATGAATGTTTAACTACATACTAAATAGGTATCTCCAATCCAAATAATCTGCCTCCACGGCAGTGGCCCTCGGAGAGCCAGCGGAGCGTCACACCTTTACAGTATCAATATATGAATGATTTATAATGGACCATGCCAAACACATCCTCTAGCTATGTTTTACTCACACTGACTCAAAAAGTCCAGGTAGTTTAAGCAAGGGCTATTATAATAATATCTAGGTATTGTAATCTATTTATATTCATTTAATATCCTAGACTCTATGCATGCTTACCTCCAATCTCTCATGCTGAGGATACCTTATATGCCAAATACCTTTTTGCTCCACTGGCCCATGTCTTCAAAGAGCCCCTTTTCGCAAATGCAAACGTATACCTATATTGATGCTATGGTGGCCGATGCTCCGTTAAAGGTAATCCTCAATCGTAAACACCTCTTTACCGCTTTAATCTATAAGTTCATCTCGTCCACTTTCAATATCCATGTTTCCATCCGACATTTGCATACTGGATCTTCGACTCCCTTGATCCGTCCCTGCGGTAAGAGATATAACTGCATCCAACCAACTTTGTGAACCAGTCCTAAGAACTAAATATGGGTTGATATCCTGACTGAAATACTTTTCCTTTCTGGTCGTACTTCTCGCCCCTCCTTCAAGGGCTGACATAGCTGCCCGAGTTGTTCTCATTCTTTTGGTTTTTGGTGCCTTTGTACTTCCGCCTTGACTAAGTAGATTGCTGAGACGAACTCGATCCTTCTGTAGGCGTGCATCATAAGATACTATGGATCTCACGTACGGGGCAACATCAAGTATGATGAGATTCATGGTTCGATCAAAGCACGAAGCTTCAAGATTTCCGGTGGACCAAACGTGTGTCTTCTCAGCCTCTGAAATAGGATCAAATGCTAAGCTCAAATCGCGGCGAGTTATGGCATTACTATCAGGACATGACCGAGACCGGATGAGGTTTTGAACTTGCTTCTCAGTAGCCCCATCAAATTCTCGATGAATTTCCCAACCATGTTCGACATGTTGACGAATTTGTAGGACCTCCCTAGCTCGAGACTTCATCCATAAAGATATATTGATACTTGTCTCGTCATAAATAGCTTGTGGTGATACATCAAGTAATTGATTCGCCAGAGTATAATCTTCTCTCGCCTTGCTAGACAATTTTGGGTGGCTAGCATCAATGATAACCTATTTTTATTAGCAATAAATAGAAGTGGTGTTAATAGGGGACTCACCTGGTTATCTGCACCAAAGCTAAAATGTGAGAGACAATCTGTAGCACTCATAGCTTCGGTGAAGTCGTCGTACATAATCAAAGTAGCTCGTTCAGTGGCCCGATCATTGACGGAATCTTTGATCTTTTTCGCCCAAGTGCTGATATCTAGGTTTCGCTGCCAATCCCCAGCATCAATACCCCAACCATTCCAAGATTCATGTAAAGTTTCTTCTTCGATATCGATGTAAGGACGTTGACTCTCGAGAGCATCTTGTGAGAGCCAGCCCATCCCGGTGTGGTAAGTATCCTCGCTAACAACGCGGTACTTATCACCATGCTCATCGAGATCGCATCCTAAAGGTAAACGGGGGTAAAACCACTCCATCCCAGCTTTACGATCTCCAACTGCAAATTGGCACCAGAACTCCAGCTCTGTCAGAGAACCACGGAGGTCTGATGCTCGACTCTCATATAAAGCCTTCACTGCCTCGCGGCGAATGGCATGACCTTCATTGGCAGCTACGAGTAGCATGTAATCCACGGCGAGATCGGTAGGCACCGCATTAAAGCGTATGATTGCGTGCAAAGATAGAGCAGCGATTGGCACCGCGGTTTCATCATTACAAGTCATGATAATTGGTCGTTTGCTTTGGGCAATTAGAAGCATAACTGTTTGCCAAAATCCTCTGTCCTCCTCATATAGAACATCAATTTCTTCCAGCAATATTAAGGATTGTTTTTGTTGCTTTGTTAACCCCTTTGGTGCTATTGTGCTCTTGCTGATTTCCGGTTGGGCTGCACTTGGTTCCACGTCCTTGTCTGCAGGTTTTGGTTTGATTGGCACCTTGGACGTAAAAAATGAATTCATGGTGCCCTGACGACCGCTCTTTAAGTCCTCAGCCACGGCATTCGACAAACGTTCTTCATCATCATTTACATTGGTGGGTATTTTGTCGACTTTGGATCTTTGGACTAAATGATTCCTAGTCATATCTCCAACTTTGTCCATAACCTCTTTCCCACTTCTTTTAGAGTTGGGATTGATTTCAAAAACTTCGAACCCGAGTTCTTTTGCAACAGCAAATACTGTGGCAGACTTACCACATCCATGTGGCCCACTCATAACGACCGCATTGGCAAGGCGTTTGGAATCCTTGGAGCTTTTTGCAATCAAATCACAAGCTCGCACGACTGTCTTCTTGCCCAGACCTGAACCTCCTAACAAGTCCCCATCTTCTGGCTCCGTTATTTCATCCATCTCGTTATCTTCCTCGCCACTTGAAACTACAAAACCGTCCAGCTTTTTTGATTTTCGCTTCCTCTTTCCAGGAAGCTCCCCTTTCGATGATGTGGATTTTTTTGTGACCTTATTTTCAGCAGAACCTGATTCTACTGATATTACTGTCAATTTCTGCAACCATTCTTTCAAAATAAAAGCCTCTGGTCCAGTTTGTAAGACTTCCTCCGCGCTATTAGGTGCATACTTCTGCGTCCAGGATTGATTCTCACATTCAGCCTTATCAAATGCTGATAATGAAGTGACGATTGAGTTGTAAACATTTATAAGAGCAGGGTGGACATTTGAACGTTTTGTGTCCCGCTGTTGAATCTCGTCATCACTCGACTCCTCATGCACAACTCGCTGCAGCTTGGAGGCAAGTTCTCTTCGGACCCTTCGTTGGAGATCCGGGCCTGATTCGATGTGTTTCGATGGTACACGAAGACAAGGAGAAATTGGAGCAAAATCATCAATATGAAGGTCTTGGATGCTATTGAATGTTTCCTCAATTCGTAATTCCGCTGTAAAAGTATTGATTATATCTTCATTCTTAACGATCTCAACTGCTTGATATTTCGCTCCTTTCTTGCCGCTGCGGGATTCCCCATCCAACGTGCTAGTAGAGGAAGTGTTTACATCTTCCTCGTCTCTTTCCCTTTCACCGCGTACATGTACCATTCCAGACCATGGCCAAGCTGACTCAATGGCACCAGGAAATTTTGGGGTTTTGGGAGCTGCCCCGAAGCCTCCAAATATCGATGGGGCCTGGTTTACTTCATTTGACCGTGGTCGGCCAAAAGTGGATAGTATTTTTGACGGTGATGGTGGTCTACCTAAGGAAGATCTTCCATGTTCCGCTTGCTGTGCCTTCGACGGTTCCTGTACTTTTTCTTGCACAGGTGCTTTCTTTTTTGCAGTTTTCCACCATGGAACAACATCTACTCCGTTTCCTTTCCTAGATGTGACCTCTTTTATATTTTTCACGTCCGTCAGAATTGTTTCAGTGCTCGAAGTGGAGATTTTAATGCCTTTGAGAATATCCTCTATCTTAGCTCCAACTTCGGAGGCTGAAGTTTGCCCACCGCCATAGCCAATGACAACGATCTTTGAATTTGGCTCTTCGTCAGCAGTGGATTTCTTGGCCCTCCCTTTCTTCTTTGGGGGGAAATTTTTCTTGGGCGGTGACCCTATGGTACCAGTCTTCGGGTTGAATTGTAGAACTTTTTTAGGCCTAAGAGTGTCATCAATTGTCCTTTTTGTGGAATCGTCTGCAGATGATTCCAAGCTCGACTTGGCTTCTTCGAACGCTTTGACTCCAGACGCAGGCTCCTCAACCGAGACATTTTCAGGTGGTGATGAGACTCTGATGTTGAATGATAGGCCATTGGATGAAAATGCTTCGTTCGTGGGCACTTCTGCTTCTTTTGACTCGGAGGTGGTAGCTTGTTTGCGCTTCGAGGTTCGTAGTTGTTTCGATGCCTCTGTCGGCGTAGTGGTCGTAGTGGCTGTGGACGGTCCTTCTGTCTCCACTTTCGTTGTAGTTTCAGCTTCCGGAGAGGTAGTCTTTCGACGTTTCCTCCTACCATTATTAGGATCAACCTCTAATAAATCTGCTTGTTCCCCATTTGTAATTTCGGATGAGTGTGAAGCCCCATTGTGCTGTGTTGTGTCGTTTCCCGCAATCGATGACTTTACATTCCGCACACTTTTCCTTTGCCCTCTTTTCGGCGCCTTGTCAGTCTCTGGTTCGTTTTGAATTTGAATCGGCTCTGAGATTTGATCAGTTTTGACTCTTTCGGTGCCATGATTTAAAACTCGCAATGAGTTCGCAGAAAAAAACATACTCAATGGCTTCTGGAAGAAAGGATGTACAGTCTTTCCCTGTCCCTCCTCTTGAAGAGGGTTCATGACTTTTGAGACAAGGACCGCCATTCGCATGCGACAAAGTTTAAAATGGTTAAACGCGAACCTAACGCGTTTTTCAAGACTCTAAATCTCGAATAATCATTTCAAAACGAAAGAAGGACAATCATAAACTTGATAAGAAGTTGGAGGATAGGATTAGAATATATAAAAAAAAGTTCTCATTATAGAAAAAAAGGAATCCAGAGTAAAAAGCAATCTGTGGTGAATTTCAGGTATCAGATGTTGAAGTCGTGAACCGCGTTCTGATGAATTACACTTTAACTATTTTCATAAATAGCTTAGTGCTCATAAACCTGGTCATGAAATTTATGCAAGGCAGAATTAATTCACCGCTTAGAGAAATTTCAAAATTTTGGCTCTTTTACTTTGCGCAAATCTTCAATCCAGTGTCAATACGTTGGATATTTTGTGCTATAATTCCAATTGTCAAGATGTCGTCCAGAATATCTCTACAGCAGCCATATGTGGTCGCCACCTTACCGCGATCGAAACAGGCGCAATATGTGGTTGGAGAAGTTTATGGCGGTTCACCTGGATCAAAAAAAAGAAAGAGGTCAGAATTGGCTGTTGGAATTCATGGAGAAGGTGTGAACTTATACGAAGTAAGATATCATGCATAGATCTCTTACATATCGTCAAATACTAATGGCTCCTTAGGTATCGTCTTCAAAACTGCTTACTTCTTACGCTCTACCTCCTGATACTTCTTTTTCTTGTCCGCCATACTCCTACAGGTCGAAAAATTCAAAAATCAAAACCGAGCGAAGAACTTATGTTTCGACATCTGGCTCCGAGGATCAAGTCACACTGTTCCATGATACTACCGAAGGGACTAGCACAACTCAATCGACAACAGTCACGCACAAGATTAGTCAATCGAAAGCGCCCGTGGTGCATTTGGGTGCTCTAGCCTCCTCGGGATCAAATACGGCCAAAAAGTCGGATATATTGATTGTGAAGAAGGACGGCGAGATCCAATGCTTAGATGGCGAGAGCCTTCTATTACTATGGTCTTCGCCTGCCACTGCTCTCGGCCGAGCTTCATCAATGTCAATGACCAACATCGAGGTAGAATATGCGCACATCACAAATGCTTACTCCGCTGGTCAAGGAATCTTGAAGGGTCGCCAAGATGTTTTTTCGTTCTTTCCACAGGAGATAACAGAGGATGGCTTCAATCCAGACATAATAATTGTGATCACGAAGTCAGATGTGGAGGAAGCTGGAGAGAGCGTGAGAACATTACATATTGTAACATTACCAAGAAAGGCGACTACACATTTGAATGGCAAAATACATTCAGTCGAATCTCTTTTGGACGCACCTCTACCAATTCATAAGGCTCCCAAGAAGAAAGGAACGGCCGGGAGAGCTTCGTTCGGCATCAACGTCTCTGCCGGTATTTTGCAAATACTCGAAGCTGAAGTGTTGACCACATTGGATTTACATGACGCATTGCCGAAGATCCAATCTGAGATCAATACTCCTGGTACAGGATCATTTCTCCGCCTTTCAAGTACTTCCATTATTATGTCGACTCAACAGGCTATTAGCATTCTCAACCCAAAATATGAGTCTGTATTGGCTACGATCAAGTTGGATGACGAAACTAACAAAGAATCACTTAAGCGGAAGCGAGACTCTGATGATAAGCAGAGGCCACGATTAGATATTCCTGCTCAATTCATATCCTACTATCCTAAGCTTGGAACAGCTCTGGCTATCTCAGACAATGAACTCATTGCCATTCAGGTTGATTATCAACCTGGTCAAGGATCGAAATCTCGAGCTTTTGGACTTTTGATTGACTCGCTTGGCTGTTCGGATCCACAAGTTGTACGCTCCAAACCAGGAAAGGAGCCATCCCATGGAAAATGGCTTTTCGTGGATCATTATCTTCCAGGGTCGATGGGCATCAAAGAGGACACATGGATAAACGTGACGAGGGAACCTGAGAGATGTGTCAAAAATGGAGATACTTCAGGGTTCGAAAAGTCTTTGGGAAATAAGTTCGATCAGGAATGGAGTACCGATTCATCCGAAAATCCTGCAGATAAAGTTGCGAAAATAGAACCCTCCGAAGTCGATCGCAGATGGGTATTATACGCACTTAGTAAGATTTTCAACTGGTCTCAGAATCTTGAAGGAGTTTTTGAGCTTTCTATTGTCTTCTATCCTCCGAGACTTTTCAGGTGGTTGCTTCAAACAGGAAACATGACGATTCTCAACATTGAATCTGCATTAAGACAGGAAATACGGGCCTCAACTTCCGGTCCAATACCGGCTGGTCAGCTTGTCAATGCTATGGTGAAGCTGGATAGGGAAATGGAGTTGTTGCTTCAGCTCGTTTCCTCAAACTTACTTGGAGCGGCTGAACTTCTTCATGCGATTCGAAAGATAATGGAAACCATGGATTTGTTTGAAAGCGAAGATTCCTCAAGTCCAAAGCAAGCATTGTTGACAAATGGAGAGGATGTAACTCTGGAAAATGGCAATGCTGAAGAGGAAGTACAAAGGCTTGAAGCCGAGGCCGAAGATGATCTACAACTTGCCGAATTCCAGTTAGGAGAAGGTTCTGGTGTCAGAGGTGAAGCGTTGAATGTGGCACTTTCAAAACTCTATACATGCCCAGATAACAGCATTACGGAAGCTCTACAAACAACCTTTACAAGTCAAGAGACGGTTTCACTAATCTATATTTTAAGAGTTGAATTGGCTAAAGGTGGATGGACTGGTCGATACCTTGATATCTTGGAATTAGATGACGACGAAGTGGAGGCTCCTGATAACTCTATCATACTCATTTCCAGCCTACTCAACAATTGCGTCGATGCTCTCGCTGCTGGTGGGTGGTTAACCGGAAATGCTAGACTGATCAATGGTGATCAATCCGAATCTGAAGCATTTATTGCGACGTTAAAGATGGAAGTTAGTGCCGCCTTAGAGGGTATTGAGACGGCCATTTACTTGAAGGGCCTGACATCTGAAATGGTTCGTTATGGAGATTCCGTGCTTAAGGGCCTGGGACATGAAGATACCGGACGCATAGCCAAAACAATATTGACACTTCCTTCTGGAGAGAAAGATGTCTCAATATTACCAATTGGTCTAAAAGCAGAGAAACAAATTTCACGCCTTCGTGTCGGAGCTGGAGGGGAAATTCAGAAGAGAAGCAAGAGAGATATTGGTCGACTGTTGAGCAAAAAGGTCGGGAAATATACCCGAGAGAGAATTGTTTTGTGATAAGGTTTACTATTTAATAATTGGTCGGGAGGAATACAAAAATCAAAGTTCATGTTCGTATTTTTCGGAGTTGCCCACTAGCCACTCTCCACATGTCCCGTAAGAGAGAACGTGTCACATAACTTGTTCAACGTCATTTAGCGATCCTATAACAATCTCCTAATGATCGCCCTTGGTTTCTCCCTGCATACTGAGACACAGGCTTATACTCGGTAGGTATGTCGACACGGGCTTCCGCATCGTTGACTGCGCCACTAAGCAGTTCATCATATACGATTTCTGTGGAAAAGTTGTCTAATTCGGGTTTACGGGCACTAGGCAGCCCTGTTCATATCCAAGGATTCTCCATATTTTCTTTAACATTTATCAGCCGTTCTTCTGATTCGTTCGATTTTGTCTATTGTTTTCACCTGCAACGTCACAATTGCATTGGATCCATACTGTGTACTCTAAATCTCTACCTATTTGTGCCGCTCAGCCTCTATTTGCCCTTAACTAGTTTGTTCTATTGTACTTCTACGGGTCTTCTTGAAACTTCTTAATTTTCTTAATTTTCATGTTTTAAGTGAATTTTTAATTTTATTTGAGAGCAGGTCGACCGAACCTCTTTTACATTCATTAACTCAACATTTGGGCCTCATCGTGGGGGGCTACTGCGGGGTAACATATCAAAGTGGTCACGTTGGAGAACCAAAATCCACTTCACTGCAGCAGACATACAGCACATCGCATATTTTCATCGCTACGTTTACATCTCATGATGACTTTATAGTCAACGTCTTTATCTTCATTTCGAAATCTAATAAATTCATACATTAAACCTCCACGATGAGTTTTGGTGAATCTCCCTCAGATATCATAATTGTGGTAGCTTTTTGCCGCGAATTATACCGAAAATGTCGAGCAGCAGGTGGTGAATATGACGAAACAAGTCGAGAAGTTCGTGGTTTGTATACCGTTTTTAAACATTTAAAATCAGAAGTCAAAGATGGGAATTCTCCACTCAGTAGGAACTGGAGTATATGGGTAAGACAATTGGCGCCAATTGTTTCGGATTGCAGTTTTACCCTGAAGCAGCTTAATGGATTGTTGTTGGAATATGGAAGATTATTCGAGGGGAGTGGGGTTGAAAATGGTAGTAGTAAGACGTCGTGGGATAAAAAGAGGTTTGGAAGTAATGAAATGGATCGGTTGGGAGCGATTAGAGTGAAGTTGATATCGCATAAAACGAGTTTGACATTATTCCTGGATTCCATACAATTACAAGAAAAAGGGAAGAAGAAAATGGGTTCAAATGAACAGGGGGAACAGCTAGATATCATTTTGGACATGGTAGATCATATTGCAGCGAAGATGAGCCATAGAGGTGGGACTTTTATGACCAGTCATGAGGATGGTGATGAGCAAATTTGGAAACAGTTCAGGAGGAGACTGATTTCGGAGGGATTTTCTCGTGATGTTTTGCAAAAACACAAGGTATTTGGATATTCTAATTGTGATAGAACAATGACTTTTCTACTAACAATAACCAGGATGCCCTAAGAGCATATATACGGCAAATGGAGCACGATGGCCTACTTGCCGGAAAACCACCTACACCTCAAATCCCCAGTCCAGTGAGCCCCCATCCTGAACGTTGGATTAATTTAACACGTTCCGAATCATCTCATGCACAGCCAGTTTCTTTCAATTCTATTGGTAATGATGACCGGGGGACGAGAGAAATGAAACAGCGAGAGGAAAATGTGAAACTCCCAACATCAATAAAATTGGAAAGATTAAAGCCAGAGCCTCATTTGGATTCATGGTTCGAAGGACAATCGGAGCGACAACCTACTTCTATTCGTCGTCAATTATCTCCACGCTTAACTCACAGAACCTCAGCCGCACAACTTACAAAGCCAGAATGGCAATTGGATACATGCGGCTCAGAATCTGACACGTCATCTATACATCGACATCAGACGAAATCTCCACCCAATATAATTCAAACAAGTGACCTGTCCCTCTCTCCCGTCCTCGCAACCCCACAACTTCTTCCTCCACCATCTCCATCAACTCATCACTCACAGTCTCACCCCAACGAAGCAACACGATCTATGGCTCCTAGACCAAACCGAAGCTCCGACAGGGCAACATCAAAACGCACACGTCGCGTACGATTTGATCTTTCAGAAAGTCAACCATCACCTAAAATGAATACACCTGTCAATGAAACTAGTCCGAGACATGATTCCACAACACCTGTGGCGACACTTGGCTCTGATTCATATGGAAATGAGATTTCGCCTGGTGTGATATGGACAAAGGTTAAGAGATATTTTATATCGCCTGAAGTTTTGAATCAAGATGGAAGACGATATGTAGTGTAAGTTACCGCTCATATCTGCTATTTCCATAATCATAAATTAAACGGGCATTGACAAAATATCATAGTCGTCCAGACTTTGTGGCAATATATGGTGCTCTTACCAAAGAAGAACTTCAAAACTATGCTTCCCGCTCCTATGCCTTGAGAGAAGAACGCTGGCGTAAACATCATCAAGCAGCAATGGGTCCTAAAGAAGCATCTTCAAAGGAGAAGCTTCCGGGAGCGAGACGAAGAAGAAACTCATCATCCTCTGAGAGTTCATCCGGTGAAAATAGTACCTCGGCCTCAGACTCAGACTCAGACTCAGGCTGGAATTCAGACTCAGAGTCAGAGTCAGATTCGAACTCCAACTCCGAATCCGATTCCAACTCCGACTCAAATTCAGACTCGGACTCGGATGATGATAGCCACAAAAAGAAGGGAAAAGGTAAAGAGGAAAAAGGAAGCAATGTGAAGAATAGAGAAGACCGACGTGAAAGAGGAGAAAGAGGAGATGGAGATGCCAGAGCAGAACGACGAGAGTGCGTAGAAAGAAATGATCGCGATCGCGAACCCTCTTATACCTTCTTTCCTACCTCCGCACCATACCCTTCTCCCCGCTCTCCTACCCCAGCACCATACCAGTCTTCTCCACGAAATGAAGCCCAACCTTTCTCGACCTCGCCAAACACATATCAGTCTTCTCCCCGCGCTCCTACCACGGCACCACACCAGTCTTCTCCACGAAATGAAGCCCAACCTTTCTCTCCTGCCTCCGCACCATACCCTTCTCCCCGCTCTCCTACCCCAGCACCATACCAGTCTTCTCCACGAAATGAAGCCCAACCTTTCTCGACCTTGCCAAACACTTATCCGTCTTCTGCTCGAGATCAATCCCAGCCTTTCTCAACCTTGCCAAACACATATCAATCTTCTCCACGAAATGAGCCTCAACCTTTCTCAACCTTGCCAAACACATACCAATCTTCTCCACGCTCTCCTACCCCGGCACCATACCCGTCTTCTCCACGAAATGAGCCTCAGCGCTTTCTCAAAATTACCAAACACAATCCCAATCGACAC